TGTCTTTTCCTTACTGTTTTTCATTGAATCTGACACGGTAAATATTAAATTACTTATAAGTTAATAACATAAGCATATAAATGTTGTTATGTATTGTGGCATTTCAACTTGTTTCATATTCAAAATCCCCAGCCCTTCACATCCTCACATTCTCCTGTGACCTTGAACGTTTTCATTTTCTGTTCAATGTCAATGCATTTTGGCAAATTACCTGTGAACAAAAATAAACATTGCATTCATATTTGAAATTTGTAATTTTTCATTACTCCGAATGCCTTTCAGATCCCATTTATTGATGTACTTTAATGTGTTGTACGCAAAAATTCGATACAAAATAAAAACACCCGCAGATGCAAAGATAAATACTAGAAATTCATTTTCTGTCGACTTGAAAAGAATTTTCCCAATTAATTGCCAGTGTCTCTGGGAAATGTTGCATGGCAGTAGGAAAAGAATTTGATTTTTGTTACTGTAAATGTTCATTGATATCTTCTTGGTAGTCTTAATGGAAATTGTATCGATTTGCTTTCAAGTGAATCTCTTTGATTTGGGGAAAGTTAACACTTATGTAAACTGAGCTAGCTAGCTAATCTATGGTTTGCTAGAAGCTTTGTTAATAGCCTCACAATTGTATTCCAGTAGAAGGCATTACAAAGGATTTAAACTCTCCGAACTTAAATAAGTTTTGTTACGAAACTTGAAGGCATTACTTAAATGATGATAACAAACTTTAAGACAAAAACTACAACAACTTTAAAAAGTTTTATTGTTTTGTAGATAACAGCATGCGTGTGGAGTGGAGTGTTGTGGTGAGGTCTGTTGTCTAATCTTTTTATGTTTCTGTTTATGGAAGGATGTCTTTGGTTTAGCTGCATCTGATTCATTATAAGTACAAGAATTAAAAATATCTTTTTGATAAAATAAAACTCGTTTAGTTCAAATCTTAGTTATTTGTGTAAAAAACAAGTTAAAAAGTATCAGTCGGTTTTGCCGCCAAATGTATACCCTCAGTCAATGTTCGATTATTTAAATATATTTTGACTTATTGAAACTGTTGACCCTCTATAGAGTAGGTTCCGAAGGAATGGGCCAATATAGTCCCTTTTGTATCGGTCCTAAATAAAGATTATATAAATATTGCGACGTGCCAGGTTTGGGTTATATTGGTTACTTCCAGCACTTTACATGAGATATGTGATAATTTTAAGAAAATGTCGAAATGTGCGTGATGATTCAGATATAGACGTCGGAAGTATCCCATTTTCATACTTCATTTAATACAGATAAAAATATTGGTATGGGCGAACTACAAAATCAAACATTTATATCCAATTGTATGCGAAATCATACATTTCATATTCATCCCAGGTTTCTGATTGAGACTATTATTTAGTAGTAAAGAATCAAATCAAGTTACGACAGATAAAAGTATTGGAAATTGTGGATCTTTGTGGATAAGGTACCAGAAGGGGTTAGCAGATATATATCATCTTCACAACAGATCTTGTGTTAGAAAAAATGTTTTTATGTGTGCAATTTGAAGAGAGGTGAATGCCTTTTTAGATTTCTTCGATGAGAAATGGTCCAATCTCTACCATCTGGATCAAGTCTGAATGGAATCGCATTTTAATTCCGCGTTTTATGAGCTTCATGAATATTAAAAAATTTTGACCCTTTATGGGGGAGGTACCTGTAAAAGTGGACCGATATATTCCATCTTCACACCAGACCACGGATTAATTTGAAGACAATCGGACTCTTACATCACATTTAATAAGATTTATAATTACTCAAAATGTTGATCCATTGTGGGGGAGATACTTGATAGAGTGGACTGATATTGTTCATTTTCGCACCTGCCCTATCAGTGATGCAAATATTAGGATTTGCCAAGTTGGAGAAAAATCGGATTATCCTGTCTCTTTCTGTGAGTAAAATATTTTTTTTTTGAAAATTTTGACCTTTTTTGGGGGTGGTACCAGAAGGAGTGGGCCGATATATTCCAACTTACCTTTGACAAGACAACAGGACTCTTATATTTCATTTTATAAATGTTGTAATTATTTTTAATAATATGAGTTTTTTTGAGCTTTAGGCCAGTTTTTTATTTTATTTCATTTTTGATCTCCGATATTTCGCAATTGTATAAATTGCATCTTCAGGGGATCTACAAGATAATATAATATTCTTAATATTACTATCACAGCATTGATTGAAAAATAGAAACAAACACAATGTTATTACACAAAAATCGCTTACTTGTAAACAATAATCGTCAAGTTAACTTAATAACTACGATAGAATGCACTATCATCGTCGGCTGTTAATATTGCACTGATTTTGTTTACATATTGCACGATCTCTTCTTTTGTGTCAAATGTCTATAGCAATAAGCTGCGTTATCTGTGTCGCTCTTAAAATTTATTCTCTCTGTTGTGTGTAGATTGTTGATGTGTAACATTTCTAATGTGAGTCTTCTGTGGTAATGGTTTTCCGTTTGCAGTATTTTTACTTGTTCAAGGTTTGGCTGATGGTTGCTTGATATACAGTGTTCCGCAAGCGCTGTTTTTTGTGTGTAATTTTGGTTTCTCATTTTTAAATCAGACTTATGGGCTGATAGTCTAGTTTTCAATTTATTTTTTGTGGTACCAACATAATATTTCCCACATTTTTCGTTAGGGTTGCCATCGCATTGTATTTGGTATATCACATTGTGTTTATCAGGATTTTGTATTTTGTCTTTTGTATGGCTAAATAGCTTTTTGAGAGTGTTGTTGTTTTTCTGGGCTATTATATATTTGTTCTTGTCATATAAATTTGAGTTCTGGAATCGTTCTGAAAAATTTTTGGTACGTAAATCATAGATTTATATATCTTTTCATCTTTTTGGGTTTCTCTAGTAGTATTCCGTCGTCCTATTAATCTATTTATTATTCTTATTGGAAAATTGTTGTTTGTTAGAATATCTCGGATTTTGTGTTTGTTCTTGTTATGGAATTTCTCGTCACTAATGCTCATTACTCTATGTACTAAATTTTTTGCAGTGTTTATAATCATTTGCTTGGGATGTTTCGAAAAGAAATTTATAATTCTTCCCGATGCCGTGGGTTTCTGATACCAGTCTAATTCTAATTTGTCCTTATTTCTATATATTATTGTGTCTAGATATGGTAAACATCCATTCATTTCATCCTCCATGGTGAATTTGATATTGTTGCTGAAACTGTTAAGTATATTCAATGTATCATTGATTGCATCTTCCCCAGTTATCACAAAAAGATCGTCCACGTATTTCGTTAATATTTTGGGTTTTGTTGTCAGTTTTTCCATGCAGGTGTCTAAGAGTTTCTCCATGACTATATCCGCCACAACTGGAGAAGCTGGTGAACCCATTGGCAGTCCTTTCTTTTGTTTATATATCTTGTCGTCGTATTTGAAATATCGGTTGTCTTTAATGCAAAATTTTAGAATACTCAAAAATAGGCCCTTTGTCATATTTGTGTATTCTTTTAGTTCTTCCCACCTTTCGTCGATTATTTGAATACCAAGATCTATCGGTATGCTTGGGAAGAGTGATACTACGTCAAACGAAACCATCCTGTCATTTTCTTTAATCGTCATATTTTTAACTTTGTTTTTGAACGCCATTGAGTCTTGAACGTTATATTTGGAGAATTTGGTAAGATTGAACGAAACCATCCTGTCATTTTCTTTAATCGTCATATTTTTAACTTTGTTTTTGAACGCCATTGAGTCTTGAACGTTATATTTGGAGAATTTGGTAAGATTTTTTAAAATTTTAACCACATATTTGCACAGTTCTTCCGACGGAGAATTGATTGAAGAACAGATCGGGCGTAACGGGAAATCTACCTTGTGAATTTTTGGTAGTCCGTACAATCTTGGAGCTGTAGCCACGTCACTTCTGAGTTTTTTCCTTTCCATTGTCGTAATAATGTTGTTTTTGTATAGCTCCTCCACCAGTTCATTATTCTTTTTTATCAAACCTGTTGTTGGATCTTTGTTCACCCGTTGATATGTCATCATATCTGAAATAATACTGTTCATCCTCTGTTTGTAGTCATTAATGTCCATTGCAACCGTAACATTTCCTTTGTCAGCATTTAAAATTAATATATTTTTATTTTGTTTCAAAAAAGTTTTGGTGCGGCCCACTGTGCTGTTGATAAATTTATCTCGTTCACTCTCTTTCATCTTATTCATATGTGTGTCTATCATTGTTGTGAACTTTGTCCTCATCATTTCTTGTTGTTCTTTGTCATTCCATGTTTGTATTACGTCTTCGCCGTCTGCTATTAGTTTAAATAGTGGGAATTGTGATTTTGTTGTTGGAAGTCCAAATTTCTCTCCAAGCGAAAGAAGCCATTTCACGTCATCGGGGAATTGAGTGTTTGTTTTGTTTACAAACCATTTATCATTCTGTTTTATGCCAAGTTGTATCATTTGTTGTTGTTTAAGTTTTTCGAATTTTCTTTTCTGTGTGTTTTTTATTTCGTTCTCCATGTTCGATATTATTTTGCTTTCGTTTTGAGTAACTATGTTTATCTCTTGTTGTGTTAGATTTTCTCCCAAAGTTTTTTCTATATTTTGTTGATCCCTTTGATTGTTCTTTATTTCGTAATGTTTCTGTTTAATTAGTAGATTGAGAATCTTGTTTTGAAAAGTATCAATGTATCCCTTTAATGTATTTTTAATGTGGTATATTTGAGATGTCTTAAAAATATTGTGAATATTTTTTAAGGCATTTTTAATAAAGTTAGGAATGATGCCGTTGTTACGACATCGAATTAGAAAAGTTAAAGAGCATTTTGTTTTGGCAATCTTCACTTTTGTGTTTTTGTGTTTGTTAATGCTGTGTTTGATGTTGTTTTTATACTTGATGTTTCTGTAGATCATGTTGTTGGTATTCGGCGTGCTCTCCGTGTTATATATTATAAGTGTGAGTTTTTTCGACCTATTTTCCAATATATTTAATAATATGAGTTTTTTTGAGCTTTAGGCCAGTTTTTTATTTTATTTCATTTTTGATCTCCGATATTTCGCAATTGTATAAATTGCATCTTCAGGGGATCTACAAGATAATATAATATTCTTAATATTACTATCACAGCATTGATTGAAAAATAGAAACAAACACAATGTTATTACACAAAAATCGCTTACTTGTAAACAATAATCGTCAAGTTAACTTAATAACTACGATAGAATGCACTATCATCGTCGGCTGTTAATATTGCACTGATTTTGTTTACATATTGCACGATCTCTTCTTTTGTGTCAAATGTCTATAGCAATAAGCTGCGTTATCTGTGTCGCTCTTAAAATTTATTCTCTCTGTTGTGTGTAGATTGTTGATGTGTAACATTTCTAATGTGAGTCTTCTGTGGTAATGGTTTTCCGTTTGCAGTATTTTTACTTGTTCAAGGTTTGGCTGATGGTTGCTTGATATACAGTGTTCCGCAAGCGCTGTTTTTTGTGTGTAATTTTGGTTTCTCATTTTTAAATCAGACTTATGGGCTGATAGTCTAGTTTTCAATTTATTTTTTGTGGTACCAACATAATATTTCCCACATTTTTCGTTAGGGTTGCCATCGCATTGTATTTGGTATATCACATTGTGTTTATCAGGATTTTGTATTTTGTCTTTTGTATGGCTAAATAGCTTTTTGAGAGTGTTGTTGTTTTTCTGGGCTATTATATATTTGTTCTTGTCATATAAATTTGAGTTCTGGAATCGTTCTGAAAAATTTGGTACGTAAATCATAGATTTATATATCTTTTCAATCTACAATCTACATCACAACAGAGAGAATAAATTTTAAGAGCGACACAGATAACGCAGCTTATTGCTATAGACATTTGACACAAAAGAAGAGATCGTGCAATATGTAAACAAAATCAGTGCAATATTAACAGCCGACGATGATAGTGCATTCTATCGTAGTTATTAAGTTAACTTGACGATTATTGTTTACAAGTAAGCGATTTTTGTGTAATAACATTGTGTTTGTTTCTATTTTTCAATCAATGCTGTGATAGTAATATTAAGAATATTATATTATCTTGTAGATCCCCTGAAGATGCAATTTATACAATTGCGAAATATCGGAGATCAAAAATGAAATAAAATAAAAAACTGGCCTAAAGCTCAAAAAAACTCATATTATTAAATATATTGGAAAATGTTGTAATTATTTAAAATGTTGACCCTTTGTGGGGGAGGTACTTGATGGTACCTGATGACCGATATTATCCATTTTTACACCTGACCTAGAACAGACACAAATATTAGGATTTGCAAAGTTCGAACAAAGTCGGATTATTGCTTCTCTTTCTGTGCAGTAAACTATTTTTTTCAAATTTTGACCTATTGTGGGGGAGGTACCAGAAGGAGTGGGCCGATATTGTCCATCTCCGAATTCGATATAAGTTTAATAATAATATTACGATGTACTAAGTTTGGACCAAATCGGATACTCCCTTCGAGGGCTATCGTGCGCACCAGCCAGCAGACAAACTGATGGACGGACGGACGGGAATCGCTAGATCGACTCCAAATACCGTGAAATGGATTTGGTTCAAAGAGACCTAGTCTCTAAAATCGTTATTTCGACGAGGCACGTTTTGGACGTATAAAATGATATATACCCTCTCTCGCCATATGGCTTCCATATGGGTATAATAACAGGAGGTGTGGGTTCCCAATGAAAAACAACACCCGTCATTTTATTTGGTTATTATTTTAAAATCGACGTATTCATTGCCAATTTTATAGCCTCCATATTCCTTGCAATCGATCTAGTTTGGATACATTTATTAAAATGTGCCAGTGTGTCAAAAATAGAATATTTCCTCAGCTATGTGCAATGTCAATTGTATAGTTTATCATTCCACTCGACCCACTCTATTATCAAACAATCGTCACAAACATCGACATCAATGCACAACGAATATTTCCACATTCCTTTGTTGTTCAGTTATTCAGCGTAAATAGCTCCTCGACTTCCTGGCAATCTTTCTAATTGATGAAGATTGCATGCAGGTGTAACGGCCATAACGGCCTCCTCCACCAACTGAACCTAAGGCCCATTGTGGACATTACCAACAATTTGTATTGCTTGATTGTGTTTGCCTGTATGTAATGCGATTAAAGCGAACGTCCAATATCCCCTTTATGTTATTCCAACACATCATTCGAATGTCCATGGCATAGTCTTAAGACCTTCAAGGTTCCGTCTCCGCTCACTTGGATTGGGTTGCTAGAAGAAAGTGTTATAGGCATTGATTTTGCTCCCTGACTGGCCAGCCCCTCCACCCCTTTCATCAAGGTCAAATGACTTTGATTGTACTCAGTGGTTTGGTCACCACAACGCTCGATAATGTCTCTGTGCTCCCGCCGCCTAACCTGGATTTTTCACATTTGCCAATAACCTCGACACCCACAAGAAGGAGGGGAGAACGTATTATGGCACCATAAACAATGTTCGACCCTCTCCTCCAAGAGATTGCCTTCAAACCATCCGGTACATACTCAATGCGGAGGGACGAGGCCTAGTAGGACACAGCCATGCAGTTCTGTCCACCCAACAACTGGGGTAGTTAAAGTGTTTTGTGTTTTTATAGAAAACATGACTTATATGACTACAGCTGAGGTTGAGTGCTATTGTTTTCTTAGGCCAAAGCTGGGAAAACTTTAAAGATGATAAGTAGAAGCAGCAGCATAGAAACTGATTAAAACTGTAATGGATTCAGGTAATTCAATCAGTGCTGTACAACAGCGGATATAACACAGCTAACAACTGCAATAAACTTTATTTGTCTCTGAGGAGGGTGGGAAAATGGAAATATGCAAGTTTGTATTGCCGTTATGATCGTTATGATGGTGTGCAGGGCATCCACTTCGATGTACAAAACAAAGGCAAACTCTAAAAAAGATATTTTCCAATTCTTATATGGTAATAATGGGAAAATAAAAAATCACATGGGGGTGGGATTGTTAGTCTTGGACAATCAAGTGATTTCCCTAGCCCATCTTGGATTATCACTCCCCCATTCTAAGTAAAGACCTTGTAGCGACACGTAGACAATGTCAATATTAATAAATAATTGCATTGTTTTTGACCCTCAACGTGCATGTCTGTCAGCCAACCAACCAACCATACATCCATCCAGCTGGTCATACATTCAGCTAGTTTCTGTGAAATTGTCTTGTATGTATGCATGTGTGTATTTGTCCTTTGACGAACATTCAAAAGTCCCCAGATACCACTACAGACAACCGACTATTGGCATATCGAATGTCTTCCTATAAACATGTCCACGCCATGCAGGAGGTTATGATGTAAGTATGACAATTGAGGTAAATACAAGACAAAAGTTCAACACAAACATTTAATCTGTCCAAGATTGTTTCGAAATCCGAGTTAGGAAAGGACAAAGGTCTGTCGGGGTCAACTATACGATTGCCTATGCCACTATGCATATTTAACGACTTTACCCGTACAAAAATTTTCGCTTATATTGGGAATTAGTATAAAGTAAATCATAATAACTAGGGAAAGAAAATACGACTTTCAGACTTTAACATTTTTGCTTTCAATGAAAAAGTCAAGTTTTCGATTTTACAATTCTGTCAATTAAAACTGTATTTTTGACTTTTCAAAAGTCTTTTAAAATCCATTTTTATTTTAGATTTTAAGGTGTACTTCTGCCAAACAGATGAAAATCTTTGTACATTATTTCGCTCGTACAGGGAGAGATGAAAAAACTGCAACCAACTTTAGACTGCTGTCATTTAAAAATCACTCGTCCGACAGCTGATAAAATTATTCCAGTGACAGCTCATTATATTGTTTACAAGCGTACAAAAGCATTTTGGTGAGAATTATCGTTAGAGCAGTCCAGAATTTAAATTTGAATAAACCTTTTGTGTCTCGTACCATCGCTCGTTACCGTGATACTGATACTGGTAGCGTAGCCCGACGTCAAGGAAGTGGACGGAAGAAAACAGCAACATCGGCAAAATGGTTCGAAAAGTAAAGAAGCGACTTTATCGAAAACCCGCGTCGTAGTGGCCGAAAAATGGCTCGTGAGTTGAACATATCATAATATTCCATTCGGCAAATATTGAACAGTGAGCTCGGGGTAAAGCCATTGAAATTCCAAAAAGTGCAAGAACTTACACCGCAACAGAAAAAATATAGACTCAAAAGAGCTAAAGAGTTGGGCGAAAGTGGTGAACTGCCGAATTTGGTTTTCTCCGATGAGAAAACATTCGTTGTCCAGAGGTCAGCTGAAAATGTGCACCTTCGTTTGGCCACCAGAACTTAAGCGCCGGTCATGGGGATGGTGTCAGATGGACTCAGCACCATCGCACTCAGCACGCGCCACCCATTAAGGGTTACAAAATAAGCCTCGTCGCTTCATTTTCAGCGCACAATGGCCACCAAAATCTCCGGGCATTCGGGCAGAGTGCGACGATTTCATTGGCCGTTTGAAGGCCATAATTCGTGCAAAAGGTGACCAGTTTGAACAAATCTAAACTTATTCTAAAATTTGATGATACTTCCGGCATTTTTTGCTTTAAAAAAATAAAAATTATGGCGTTTGACTTTTATTCAGTAGTTTATCTCACACTGTATGCTACATCTTTAGAACGTTCACAATTTTGAAATGTCCCCTTATTACGCTACTTCGTGAGTTTTGGTATTTCATAGGTTTTATCCATACTGTTCAGCGAAATGGCCTAAAATTTTTCCGAATTAATAAAATTACTACTAGCAAAACATTTCCAAAAGTATAATCATTAAAATGCACTCCCTGTTTAACCCTTTTCTCTAAATTAAGTTTTAGTAACAAAACTCTATACATATAATCCAAATGGATGAAGATAGGCCTGGAGACTTTGCAATTTTCTAAAAACGTGGATAAGTAAAGCAAGGAAAAACGTGAACCTATGTTAGTCACTACACTTTATCCTCCCTAAGAACTCAAATTCCATTCCGTTTGCATATTTGGCCAAATTCTCTCAAATAAATAAAATTGAATGCTGAAATTTTTATGTGAGGACTTTTTAACGTATTAAAATATTATATGTCAAATTTAAATTGTTAAATTTTTAACATTTTAAAATCAATTAAATTCTAAAAACACATTGCGACCACTGTGCATTAGGGGCTCTATTATTTGGCTTTAGACTCCGACCATTGGGAGGGGGAGTGTTGAGGAACACTTTTGTTGCACACTCTCTCTATTATATGCAAGATTGTTGTTTTCTTCCATTTAGCATGCACGTGTGCGTAAGTTTGTCACTCTGAGTCACTTAGACGTTTTTCATACATTGTCAATTTGTCCCCTTGGTATTTGTGAGGTTGCTATTCAGCAAAAAAGAAAAAAAATGTGAACAAAATAGAAAAACGAACAAAACGACAAAAATGGTAGACACTGTTTGACCTTCAGAAAGTATGCATTAAGATTTTCTTAGCTCTTTGAACCTTTCTGTTAATCTCGGCTTTTGTTATTTATAAAATGAGACAAATTCTGAAAACTAGAGACGACTGGAAAGACATTCAACCTGATTTACTTATTGAGGTTAGCAAAAATTATATATTTGATTTGGGATATATTTTTTCTGATTTATCACAAAGATTATTTAGGTGGATGTTGAATTAATATAATTATAATTTTTTTTTACACCTAAAGGTCTTAGATGATATTGAGTATTCTTGCAAAACGTTCTCTCTTGAAAAATGTGTTACATCCCTCCACATTTCCAGGTAAAATTCAAATAAAGCTGAGTTTTTGAGGTCCTTAAAGTCCTGTTTAGCTGTAGTAAACATTATTATACCCTACACCACATAGTGGTAAGGGTATTATGTCTTTGTGCATTTGTTTGTAACATGGAGAAGGAAACGAAATAGACCCATAGTTACTTTTGAGAACCTTCATAGAATCACTTTCTGAGTCGAATTATGCATGTCCGTCCGTCTGTCCGTCCGTCCGTCCGTCCGTCCGTCCGTCCGTCCGTCTGTCCATGTATTCTTGTGAACAAAATGCAGGTCGCATTTATTATCCGATTGAGATGAAATTTTCCAAACAATCTTTTTTTGGCCCAAGGACGAACCCTATTGAAATTGGTGAGAATCGGATCAAATTTAGATAT